CCGAGCTTGATTACATGCTGTGCAGTATGCATAGTGACCGATCACATGAGGAGGAGGAGGAGGAGGAGGAGGAGGAGGAGGAGGAGGAGGAGGAGGAGGAGGAGACAGACGGGATCCATCGCCTGTACGACCATGCAGACACGAGGGACCAGGACCAGGAGGAGAAGGGGGAGGGGGAGGAGGAGGACGGGGAGGAGCAGCTCTCAACAGGAGGCGGAGGAGAACGACAAGAGGAAGAGGAAGAGAAGGAGGAGGAGGAGGAGAAAGAGGAGGCAGGAGGAGAGGCAGGAAGGGCAAGAGGACGAAAGAAGAGGAGGAAGAGGAGGAGGGGGGAGGAGGGAGAGGGGGAATAAGGGAGAGAGGGAGGATGAGGAAGATGGCAGCGTCTAACGTGACACCGATGCCGACAGCGACAGCGCGAGGAGGAGGAGGAGGAAGGAGGAGGAGAAGGAGAAGAAGGATGAGGAGGAGAGAAGGAGAAGCGAGCAGGCCGCACGCGAGAGGGTCTCGTGCTCTCCCCGATCGAATGAGGAGGAGGAGGAGCAGGAGGAGCATGAGGAGCAGGAAAAGCAGGAGGAGAAAGAAGGAGGAGGAGGAGCAGAAGGAAGAGGATGAGGAGGATGAGGAGGAGCGATCGCCAGGCCGAGGAAGGCAACTGGCTTCCAGACGCGGCCGCTTCTCTGCAGTGTTCCTCCTGCATCACTCTGCCGCAACCCTCGACCAGTCTGGCAGCGCCGGCGGCGCCGCGGGGCTCCTTCACCTCCTTCAGAGAGCAGCAGGGGGAGGAGAATGAGGAGAAGTAGGAGGAGGAAGAGGAGGAGGAGGAGGAGGAGGAGGAGGAGGAGGAGGAGGAGGAGGGACGAGGAGGAGGAGGAGGAGGAGGAGGAGAGGACGAGGAGGAGAGGAGAGGAGGAGGAGGAGGAGGAGGAGGAGAGGAGGAGGAGGAGAGGAGGAATGAGGAGGAGGAGGAGGAGAGAGGAGGAGGAGGAGGAGGCGAGGAGGAGGAGGAGGACGAGGAGGAGGAGAGGAGGAGGAGAAGAGGAGGAAGGAGGAAGAGGACAGGAGGAGGAAGGAGGAGGAGGAGGAGGAGGAGGAGGAGGAGGAGGAGGAGGAGGAGGAGGAGGAGGAGGAGGAGGAGGAGGAGGAGGAGGAGGAGGAGGAGGAGAGGAGGAGGAGGAGGAGGAGGAGGAGGAGGAGGAGGAGGAGGAGGAGGAGGAGGAGGAGGAGGAGGAGGAGGAGGAGGTGGAGGAGGAGGAGGAGGAGGAGGAGGAAGAGGGAGGAGGAGGAGGAGGAGGAGGAGGTGGAGGAGGAGGAGGAGGAGGAGGAAGAGGAGGTGAGATGGAGGTGGAGGAGGGGGAGAAGGAGAAGGCAGGAGGATTAGTTGGAGGGGAATGAAGGAAGAGGGAGAGGAGGCGGGGAGAGAGGGGATGAGGAGGAGTAGGCTCGCATTTGGTCCTTTCTTGGCCTCCTGGCGCCTGCAGCGGAGGCGCCCTCCGCCTCCGCGAGGAAGGACACTGTTTTTACTCCTTACCAAACAGGTTGGGTGTGCCAGATTGGAAGACACGGTTTCGCTTGCGAGCCCTGCACGCCGCGAATGTCCCCAAACCTCCCGCCTTGTCGTCCCTGCATATCGAGGCCGCCAGGCTCAAAGAATCCCGGGGTGTCTCCGCGTCCTCGACCTCGCCGAGCCTCACCAGAGAGGCGTCACGGCGTCCAGGCGCCACGCCGTTCACAGACATGCACAATACTTATGCTGAAAAGACATCAAGGATGTCGACCAACAGAAGCGCCAAACACATACACTAAGAACATGCATCATAAGAATACACCTATCATCGGCAATACGGGTATACATACAAAAGGTCGCGAATCACACAACTCAATCGGACACAAACAATGGTCAGTCACATGCGTCGGGTGACACCATCAACCACATCAATAGCAGACACTGATAGCACACGTCAACCTCAGTCATCCGCAACACACGGGAATAACCCACGCACACACACACACACACCTTCAGCACACACACTAACACAATGCATCATGGCCACACACCGAGCACATGCACCAATCGCACACATCAAAAGCGTACAATCTTAGAACGCGTCCACAACCTACAGAGAGCACGTACATCAACCAAGTATGTCCAACACATACACTAATGACTAGCAACCAGAACATCCACGGACAAAGTACACCAACATCATGAACCCATACGCGACATCAAACACACTACCGAACACAACCACCACTAACTCGCAACAATCTACACACATCGCATACACATACCGTGCGTCACGCCCGTACGTCATGACCACGCATCAAGATCGGAGACCAAGCACCAACCACATATGTAAGCCAACAACAAACACACATACCATGCATGGCACCAAAGGTCAACGCCATCACACCAACGCAGCCCGCACTGACATGCACCAGGGACAATCACCATCATAACCATCCCGCATTGTCGCACGTCAACAACAGCTACTAACAACTGGCACACAACTGTTAAACCAACGACGTGGAACACTGAATTACACAACGATCGTATACCACGAACGAGCACCAATACCACTCACACGCGTTCCGCCATGATGAGTATCAGCAGTAGCCACCAAGCGCATCTGAACCAACGATGTAACACATAACGCACCATTTGAGCATACCAAGAATCCACATCTTCAGGGTCACCTTTGGGCAAACATGCATCAACACCATACGCGTACATCCATCATGTATGTGGTCGAACAACGGCCGTACACATATACGCAGAACGCGGACCGCGCATCCCTGCCTGTCGTTACCGTGGTGCTGCTGTTGTCTGTCGTGCTTGTATTGCTGATGTAGTCGATGCCCGCGCGAATCGTGTCGATGAGTTCGAGGGAATGGGCGCTGTTGAGGTTGTTGGCGACGTCAAGGTTGCCAATGTAATCGTGGTTAACGGCGCAACTGTTGCACATGCTCCTGGCATTCGTGACGTCGGCTATCTTCCGCGGTTCATCGGGGACAGGGGGGCGGCGAAGGGAGCCGCCCTGACCCCCCGTTGTAGCCCGAACGTTGCAACACCTTCCCCCGCGCTGCTGGCCCATCGAGGGCTTCCACCCGCGAAGGGCGCGACGCCCCGTCTGCGACAACTCCGTGCATAAAATGCCGAGAAGTGCGCGGCGCTCCTTCTCCCCCTTCCCACTTCTCCCCCTGCTGTCTTTTACACACAGACACTTTTACAACCCATACTGGGAAAGATTGCCTGCAATGGTAACAACACCCTCGGCGACTGCGCAAAATCAGCGATGACCGGGTGATGCGTGCACCCTATGCTTCGACGAGCCTGCGGTGCCTGGGCCTCGCCAGGGGCAGCGCCTGCGCCGCCAGATAATGCGACGATGGCAGCGACGGCGATGGCGTCAGATGCGAAAACGGTGACGGTGATTGTCACTCTGCAACTTTTGCGGGATAATCTGACTTGCACGTCGTTGCGCGTTTCTATCCCCCAGAATTGTTCCATGCTTCGTCCAGCTCATAAGGTGACTCTGGAAAACGCCTGTAACACACACGCACACACACGCACGCACACATGCGTACTAAACCTACTCGATATGCGCGGGGCACATGAAGCAACACGCGCACACATCACGCACGCATACATAACATGTGCGACCACCATGCGTAACCACTCGTGAAACATGTCACGCTGTAGGGACACATCGCGACTGACTCTGAATGTAGTCGCAGTAGCCCCCTCGTGGGGGGGGGATCGCCAATAACGATACATAGAACTATATATATATATATATATATATAACATAATCGTGCTATAGTTCGTTGCCCTATCTCTTCGAAGGAGGAGGAGGCGGAAACATGAGGAAGAGGAGGAGGAGGAGGAGGAGGAGGAGTAGGAGGAGGAGGATACGTAGGAGCATGTGGGCGGGGAATGGAAGCACACACAAACAGGAGGAGAGAGAGAGAGAGAGAGGAAGGGGAGAAGAGGGAGCTTTCTGCGGGGGGTGAAAAAGGTCTGGTGTCCCAGAAGGTTTTTTGAGGGTCCCAAGAGGAAGGCGGAACCGGAGGAAACGGACAAAGGATGACGAAGAGGCGGAGGTGGACTGCAATGAAGAGGAGGAGGAGGAGAAGGAGGAGGATTGTATACCGAAGCCTTCAGCGTCAGCGTCAGGAGGACGGGGAAGGGGAGGATAATGATCAGTGGGACGGTCGTTGGGAATTCGACCAGGGTTTTTCGGGGGAGGAGGGGGGGGGGAAAGAGGGGAGGAGGGAGGGGGAGGGTTCGTGAGGGTTTACTTTCGGAATTCTTTGTGGTTCGTGGAGGGGAGGGGAAGGGACGGGAGTCCTCAAGAAGCGCCCTGCCGCTGGGCAGTCGAGCGCTCACCCAGCCGCAGCACGGGCCTGCGCCAGACACCTTGGAGAAGTTGACTCGCCCCGCCTCCAGCGCCAGCTCCAATATCACCGCGCCCGTGCCCAGCCGCTCTGGCAGCTGCTCCGAGCGCACGTCCTGGCCCTCGCGCACGACGATGCCGCCTGCGCCGAGGCCGCCGACGACCAACCACCGCCGGCCGTTCAGGAGCCACTCGACGACCTCCTCGTGGCCTTTCGCGGCGGCGATCTCCAGTGGCACCTTGCCGTACACGTCTGGCCTCCATGCCACGTCCGCATACGGCACCCGAGGAGGAGGAGGAGGAGGAGGAGGAGGAGGAGGAGGAGGAGGAGGAGGAGGGAGGAGGGGGCAGGGAGGGAGGGAGGAGGGGGAGGAGCGGAGCGGAAATGACCACGGTCACCTGTATGACAGGAGAACCCTGCTCAGGCGAGCGTGACTTCTGATGCTCAGAAGAAGCCCTCGATCAGCATTGAGGCACATTCCGCGCGCCAGCGGAGCTACGGCACGAACCCCCTACAACATGCGAGAGGGCCTCCGGGGACGGGGCCCATAACCAGGCTGGCCACGAGATCAGGGGACTGGCACTGCGAAGCAAGACATATTTTCACGTCCGTTTAAATGGGGAGGAGTGGCTGAGGGAGAAGGGGACGACGCGATCGTCGGAAGATGGACGAAGAGGAGAAGAAGGAGAAGGACTCAATCTTGAAAACATATGCCACCACTCTTTGGCGGCCGCTCTGTGGGCCCAGGGCAGACAGCGGCGACGAGCTCGTCGTAGCGTTCGGAGGACAAGGAGGAGGAGAGGACGAGGAGGAAAGGAAGAGAAGGATGCTACCCCCAGCCGCAGCAGCGCCCGCATCATCGGCACGCGCCCCCGGTCCGCGGCGTCGTGGAACGGGGTCCAGCCGAAGAGGTTGGCGCTGGCGAGGGGGCACCCCAGCCGCACCAGCGCCTGCAGGCTGCAGGCGCTGCCCCCAATCACCGCGGTGTGGGCCGCGGTGGAGCCGTGCGTGTTCGTGGTGTGCGCGGCGCCGTGCCGCGCCAGCACCTCCAGCACGGCCACGTGGCCGTGGAACGCGGCGCTGTGTACCGGCGCGTTCCAGCTCTTCGGCTCTCCGTACACCGCTGGCGTGGTCAGCGGTGCGCCGAGGTCCACCAACGCCAGGATGGATGAGGCGTGGCCGGAGATGGCCGCCCAGTGTGCTGGCGTAGCCTTGTTCTCCGCCTCGGGGTCGGGAGCCGCGCCGAGGCCTGCCAGCAGGCGAATGGCAGCGACGTGGCCGCGCCCCGCGGCGAAGTGCAGCGCGGTGGCGCCCGTCCTGGTCCTGGTGCCCAGCGGCACGCCCGCGCGCCTGAGCATCGCGATCGCCTCCGTGCTGCCCGCCATGGCGGCGTAGTGCAACGGCCTGCAGCCGCTCCCGTCCTCGCCGTCGGCCGGGGCTCCCAGCCGCAGCAGGATCTCCAGCAAGCCCGCGCGCCCGCAGAAGGCGGCCTCGCCAGCGAGCCCCGCGTCGGTCCTGATGATGTCCCGGGGCAGCTCCCACCCAGCATCCACGAGTCCATGGACCACGTACTCGCCCGGAGGCCGCCAGAGGGGATCCTGGCTCAGGATGCCCCCGCAGCTCTTCCCGTCACTGATGTGGGGCCCCTGGGGCCCTCTAGGCCAGGTGCTGGGTCACGAGCGAAGGACGTACCCGTATCGGCGCCTTTGCGGTCTCGATTCCCGGGAGCGATCTCGCGGATACGCGGTCGCACGGCTACGCTTCGCGGAGCATCCGCGAACAGAGTGCCCGGTATCTGCGGGATCGAGGCCCAGGGGCCCAGCACACGGGGCCGCGGTCCGGGTATGTCTTCCGCCCACGACTGGAAGCCATCCAGGCCACTCTGCAACAGCTGGGGCCACCCTGGGCCTCAGACATCCGCCGGTGCGTCTTTGTTCCGATGCGCGGCCCCATCTTTCCCCGGGGCCCAGGCACAGGGCTTTGCCCTGGATCAACTTTTGATTGCCCTGGGCCCCAAGAAGGCCCCCAGGAGGCTGAAACCAAGGGAAAATACAGACCGACTGAAAAATACACCTCGCCGAATGTCTGGGGGTCAGCCCTGGCAACCTCCTGCTCGTGCCCCTCCCTGATCGCGCGCGAGAGCAGCCGGCGACACGCCTGCAGGCTGCAGGATCAGTCCGCTTCTCCTCGAGACATCGGATCGAATCGGAACGTGCGTCGGATCGGTCCGCGGCAGCATGGGGTTGGAATCGAATCGAATCGGCCGCGCCAAGATGAACAACAACACCAGACACGTATCGGGACGCATCGGGTCGTCGGAGTATCATAATCGAATCATATTCTGACGCCGGGCCAGATCGCCAGAACGCGAGTTCCGATGCGGCCCTGGCGCCGCGCCAGAGCCAACTGCCGCAACATTCCCACTGGCCCACTGGTAATGGTAATTCGCCCCAGCTGACATGAGATCGGAAGGGCTGGGACCCCATTACTTGGGGGTTCCGAAACGGTGTGGTGACAGACCGTGCGGAGACTTCGGAATCCCGCAAGACCGCACCGCACGGTCCGTCACCGCAGGACTTTGGGAGCCTGGAGGCTCCAGTTGCCCGAGACTCAAAACCGTGCGGTCAGTCCGAATCCCCACAAGACGGTGTGGTCACCGCGCCGTTCGGGGGCCAACAGATTCCATCGTAGGCCAGATCACCATCTGGGCAGTACCAGTGGGAGCTACGGCCGCTTGGCTCCAGCGCCGCGCCAGAGCGGAGCGGCCGCTAATCCTACCAGTGAACTGGTCGCGCTGAGATGAGATGATGGCCGCAATCGATATCGAATCGCATCCATCGGGACGACGTGGACACAGATCTCCAATGCCGTGACATTTCGCAACTTTGATCCCCAGAGGTCTGTAGACCGCTTCCGCGGGGCCAGAACTTGAACCTTGAGCCCCGGAACCGTCTTTCACGATCCTGCGGAGCCCTGGTGAAAGGCCCCCGAAGGCCAAACATGTCCACAACTCGAGTACGGGATCGACTGCAAAATGAACGTGTCCCAAAATTGAAATGCTCGGCGGATCTACGAACACACAATACACATAGTGCTCCGTTGACCTACGGACCTCTCCGCGCATCTTCGTAGCTCCGACGAAACAATCCATTCTGGTGCAAGCCAATCCTGCAGTCGATCTCCTACTCGGGCATCCCGCCCTGGCGTGATTTGTCCCACGACGCAGACCAGAGCTGGGGGCGGGCCCAGGGCCTGTCGTGCCCAGCCCGCCGCCCCGCCCGCCCCGGCCCCAGGCGGGCCCTCTGGCCCCGCCGCGCACAGCCTCGCGGGGCTCGACCTGCCCCGGCTCCGCGCGCACGGCGGGCCGCCGGCGTGGCTCCCGACCAGCGGCGGCGGCGCCATCGCCGCAACCGCCGCCGCCAATGAGGCCGCCGCCTCCGCCGCCGCCGCGGCGGTGCTGCCGGCGCCGCGGCTCTCGACCGGGGGCGGCGGCGGCGCCGCGGCCGCTGCGGCGGGCCCACTCTCGGGCGCCTGGCCACCCGGCGGGGCCGCGGCGGCGCACACGCTCATGGCGGGCGCCAGGCGGCTGTCAGTGCACCGCTGCAGGAGGAGGAAGAGGAAGCGGAGGAGGGAGAAGGGAGGGAGAGGTGGAGGAGGGGGGGAGGGGGAGAGGGGGAGAAGGGAGGGAGGGGAAAACTGGGGAGAGAGCATGAGGGTGGAGGAGGTGGCAGGAGACGGCCGTAGGGGTGGGACCATAGGGGGGTGCTAGGAGGACGGGGAAGTGGAGAAGGGGAGGAGGCCGGAGGGAGGCAACGAAGGCGGGGAGGGAGACGGGACGGGCCGCGGAGAGGCACGAGGATGGGAGAAGAGAGGCGGGGTGGAGGGATGGGCTAGACCTTAACTGTGTCCACAACGACGAGGACAGTGTCCACAACACGATTACCGCACGCAACCACTGCACACCACCACAACAGGGCCGCTCTGCAGCGCGAGACGGAGGAGCGAGTGGCGGCCGTCGGTTGGCAAACGCCCGCGAGGCGAGTACAGCTCTCAAGTAAGACGGGGACTCGCGCGCGTGCCGAGAGTGTGAGGAGCAACGATGGACGATCAGGTGAAAACAGGTAGAGCAAAGTAGTGACCAGAGGGTACGCCCCAAAAACCTCGCAGGCGAATTTAGCCAACGCGGACCATCCCCGAGCTAGGCTATAATCAGCTAGACTATGAGGTCGGATGCATTACACTCCACACAACAGCAGCGACGCGAAGCGAACTCTGGAGTCGTGCGCGCTCCGCGTGGGACCCCGCCAGCGCCTATTAGAGCATGGAGTGGAGGCCGTGGCCTCAACGATGTGATACGTGCGCGGACTCACAACCACAATTTGGAACAACCACTGATGCAGATCTTGTTCTCGTGAATTCGGATAATGAATAGCGATGGCATTAGGTCGGGCATGTCCCCCTACAGGCGGATGTTGGGCGAAAAATAAGCATAGCCAAACAATATTCAAATATACTCAAAGGTAGTCCAAACATCGTCCCCTGACTACTCTTATTTTGTGTTTTTGAATATTCCTCCTCTCGGGGGACAGGCCCGACTCAAGGATAGCACCATTGGATACTCGTGCAGGCTCCTCCCCGCCTGTGGGTCGCACTTGTTTCCTCAAAGTGCTCTCGGCGACGGCGGGCTTCGTGAACTCGTTCTACTACATAAAAGGGGCCCAGGGACACACAGACACACGCATCAATAGACATAAGTCCCAGGAATCCTTATATTTTCCATATGTTCTGGGTTTTCGTCTTCCCCCCCACTTCCCGTAGTTTCCAACATCTTCCCGGGAATGGACGATTACTTGTGTCTATACGTTTTTTACCCTCCTGATGCATGGGGTCTGGAAGCTAATCGTTTCTGCGTCGGCAGGCCTGTTGGAGTATCTCATCGAGCTGCGCGCTTGTCATCTCCGGCGGCTCTGGCTCGCAGACGTCGTCGTCGTCGTCGTCGTCGTCGTCGTCGTCGTCGTCGTCGTCTTTTTCCGTCTCCTCAACGTCCTCCTTATCATATCTGCCAATCCTCTGCTCCTCGCCGGTGTCCTTGCGCATCGCTGGTGTCCTTGAGCATCACATTGTTATCCTGCTCCTGCGTCTCGTTCAGCTCGCCCCTGTTGGTGTCGCTGGACGTCGCGCACGTCGAAGTCAAGCTTACTCAACTCGTCCGCGTCGGGCGTATCCGCCTTCTCCCTCACACATTCGGCAGACCTTATACGAATCTGCGGAGGGCTCCGTTGGTCTGCTGCTGGTTCTTGCTGGAAGTGTTCCAGACCGTTGGCTATCCGCATGTCGACGGCCTCGAAATTTTTGAGCTCAGTTCGGGAAAACATGATCTTCATCGCCGAAACTCACAATGCAAGGGTGTCCATGTTGCCAGTGGTGTCCTTTCCGATTGCTTTCTCTGAGAGGTCGTCTTTGATGTCCTTCGGGTGGCCCTTCCTTGGAGCTCAACCTCAATACGACGTCGCAGGTCTGCTCGGACTTCCCGCTTATCACTTTCAGGCGCTCGTCGACTGACGCCTCCCTTCTCCTTCGCCTGGAGCCCGTAACCGTTCCGACTTGCTCAACGGCGCCCTTCTTCCGCTCCGGCTTCGCGCCGGCCACGGGCATGCCGCGGGCAGCCGTGGCTGCTCCGCGGGCCGTGCGCTCCCCCGTAGCCCCTTGAGCCAAGATGGCTCCAGCAAGAAGGGCCACGGAGCAGAAGGAGCGGGAGGAGGAGCGGGAGGAGGAGGACGAGTGCCTCGCGGTGGAGGGGCGCGCGGAGGAGCCGCAGCGACGACCTCCTTGAGCAAAATTCGAGGCTCCTAGTGCCCTGTTTCGGGCCCCACCCCATTCTCCTCCTCTTCCTCTTCCTCCTCCCCTCCTGAAAAGCAATCGGATTTCCCTTGGAACAGAAACCACACCCACCAAATATTACGGACCCACGAGGAAACTTTGGAAGCCGAGAAACCAGAGCCATCCGAATAGGTCCTCGCGGGGGCGGTCCAGAGAGAACATGCTAGACAGGGATGGTGATGGTGATGATGCTGATGCTGATGCTGATGCTGATGCTGCTGATGATGAGGATGATGACGATGATGATGATGATGATGATGATGATGAGGATGAGGATGAGGATGAGGATGAGGATGAGGATGAGGATGCGGATGATGATGGTGATGATGATGTTGCTGATGATGATGACGATGATGATGGATGAGGAGGATTATGACGATGATGATGCTGATGCTGCTAATGATGATAATGGTGATGGTGATGGTGATGGTGATGGTGATGGTGATGGTGATGGTAATGATGATGATGATGATGATGATGATGATGATGATGATGATGATGATGATGATGATGATGATGATGATGATGATGATGATGATAGTGATGATGCTGATGATGATGGTACTGATGAAGATGAGAGGGGGGTAGGTCAGGGCGTCAGGTGTGTTCGCGTGTGTGTGTGTGTGTATGTGTATGTGTGTGTGGTGGGGGAAGGGGGGCACGTCTCCGAATCACTCCAATGCCGCGGAGGCCTCCTGCGGGAGGCTCTGCCGAGGGTCAGCTCGACGGCTTGACGGGGGGCGCGCGCCAGGCTTTGGGCGGCCTCCTGAGGGAGGAAGGGGTGGATCGGGCCTTACTCTGTGGACCAAGCGATGATGAGGAGGAGGGGAGGGGGGAGGAAGAGAAGGAGGAGGAGGAGGAGGAGAAGGAGGAGGACCTCGTACATCCAAGATGTCTCAACGATGCCGCAGCACACTCGCCGTCCCATTTCAAGAGGCCTTCTACATGGGGTCCGAGAAGGTGGGGTCGAAGGATGGCGCCAAAACGCATATATATATATATATGTGTGTATGTATATATACACACATATTGGCGACGCCGGTGATGCATCGGCGACGCTGGTGCAGCATCGGCGCCGTCAGTGTGAGGAGCATCGGGCTCCACATCGAGCCGCATCAGCGATGCATCGGCGACGCGTCGCGATCCCCCGACCCCATCTCGGACCCCATGTGAGAGGCCCCTAGACTTGGGGCGGAAGACAGGGGGGAGGAGTGACAGTACCCCGGGGGCGAGCCTCCCAGTGGCGGCTGGCAGCGCGGCACAGGATACAATTGGCGACAAGTGAAGGCACGGCGTGCACTGGACGTGGACGATGGCGGCAGGCGTCGGGAAAACAACTTGCTGCACTTCATTGTGAAGATGGCCGTGTTGGCCATAACCACCGCTCCAATCAAATGCAAAACCCTTGTGACGCGGACAGAATGGGCGGCGCCATGTGAAGAGAAATTGGAGGCCCGAACCCCACATTGAGCATGCTCCAGGAACCGCCCTCCATCCGTGTACCTGTGGCACACGTTGGTGGTAGTTCGAGTCTATGTTTGCGGAAAGCTCTGGTGAGAGCTCCATTTTGAAACCGAATCGCCTTCCATCCATGTAGCTGTTGGAAATGTGTAGAACGAGTGTGGGCGGCGTCTAGGCGAGATCCCCACTTTGAGAACGGTTCGTCTTATATGAGTGTGGGCGGCGTCGAGGCGGGACCCCCAGTTTGAACGCAATTCGCCCTCCCTTACTGGTGGGCCATCTTTGACATGAGTGTGCACGGCGCCACAGCGAGAACCCCATGTTGAAAACGATCCGCCCTCCGTCCGTGCAGCTCTTGGAAACTTCAAGAACTTCAGGTAAGACAGAGCCAGGACGAGGGCAGCACTCGGGGGAGGTACATCGAGAATCTCGGAGATCGGGCGGCTCTGGAGGATGCATCGGGCGCCGCGGCCTGCTCAGAGCGTTCCGAAACGCTCTGAGAGCGCTCTGGAACGCTCTGGAACGGATGAATCCTCGCCCCAGCCCCGTCCGATCAGGATCGTTCGGGGGAGGGAGGTCTCAGGCGACAGGCCTTGCCCGCTCTCCCGAGACGTCTGCTGGTGCCACCAGGGGAGCAGGTACGCATTGGGGAGGAGGTTGGCGGAGCAGCAGGGGGCAGGAGAGATCGAGGAGGGAGGGTGAGGATGTGAGGGGGGAGGGGGCAGGTCAGGAGAGTTTACCCCGCTGTTCCCCGTGCTTGT